TTGGATGGGTCAGGACAGAGGAGGGCCGGTCCGTGTCGGGGGATCGTGTAGGGAGTAAGAGGACCTTGTCGGCTCCGGTCAGATCCGAGTCAAACTGTCAGTCTGCGTTCCCTGACCCCGGCGCGCCTCGCCAACGCCTCGCCAACGCCACGCCACGCCGCGCCACGCCCCTGCTCCGTAACACCCGCTCAAGCTCAAGCTCAAGCTCAAGCGCGCGCCCAGCCCGGCCAAGGCTTGAAATGGGTTTCACGTCGAGTTAAGTAAGTTAGCCGGAGCTGTCGAGGAGCCTGCTCCCAGGTCCCGCGGCCCCGCCCCAGCTATTCACATCGTATTTTTCTCTGTAAGTTTGCACCTGGTGAAAACAACACAAACACCAATCTACGTTGTTGTTTTTTCAACAGTTAACTTTCAAAGGAAAGGGGGTTGGAGATTCAGCTTTGGACCTCTAGAAACGCTAGAAACCAGACGGGGCGCCGACCAACTCGCGATGGAGGAATATAAGGGGGACGAAGGGCAAGGCGGCGGATACAATGGGACCAGCCCCACAACAATTGCGAGATGGCGGAGTGCATGGTCGACCTCTCGCCCGCCCCCTCTTTCCCCAACTCCCCCCTCTACCACCCCGCGCCACATACACTTGTGAGCGTCCAAGGACATTGCAAGCGACGCTGAGGCTTCCCAAAACCCAGGGCTTTCCTCCCCCCCCCCCTCTCTCTCTCTCTCCCCCTCTCTTCTTTCTCTCACTCTATCTATCTCCCGCCCTCCTTGCGGACTCAATCGGCCTCGCTCTCCATCTCCCTCGCTCGCTCCTCTCAACCCTGCTTGGCGGGGGATGGTGGAGGGAAGGGGTTAAGTGTGCGGCCCCCCGTCTCTATCGTCTTTTCATCCTCACCTGAGTGCGCCATCGCCTCGAGCCCCAAAACACACACACACACACACACACACACACACACACACACACACACACACACACACACACACACACACACTTACACTGCTTATGTCTTTTGCTTCCTCTCGAACGCCAGTTTGCTATCAAATTTGGTGAAGGCTACGTCCAACTCCCAGTCGGTGACATTTTTTTCCAAGACATTCGATTGTATTTTGTTTTAGCCTTTTCGTATCGGCATTTGGTCTAAACGGCGGTCAGGTGACCGGCCAAGCTGCTGTGCCAGTTGGACCGAACTGGAAAAATAAAGGTGCTAGCTCCTAACTTTTAAAGGCACTAATTTTTAGCACCTTTTGGGCTGTTTAGTGCCTTTGAAAGGCACTAAACGTTAATTGTGTTTAGTGCCCGAAAGGCACCCTTTGATTTACCATTGCGGTGGCACTCTGGGCGGGCGGCCTCTGCTGCGCTCTGCAGGCGGCTGGCTGGAGGCGAGCCGGCCGCCTGGGAGGTAGGCCACGCACTGCACGTGCGCGGGGCGGGCGGCCTACGCTACGCTCTGCAGGCGGCTGGCTGGAGGCGAGCCGGCCGCCTGGGAGGTAGGCCACGCACTGCACG